ATGCTTCAGCTTTTCATTCTTGATTCCTTCTACAGGGGCAGACAAAAATGGGGGATTGAAAGAGGTAAGCTTCAACATTATAACCCATCTTAATCATATTTTTACCTATAAGCAATGAAATAGCTGATCCTAGTGAATGCCCGGCTAACCAAATTCTTGAACTTCCAGCAACCGCAAAGATACTCTCTACAGTCTGCATTGCTTGCTGAAAACGAGAGCTTTCATGAAGTCTATTACGGACGCACAGGAAATCCAACTTGAGATCACGAGACCTTGTGTTTGACTTAGTATAGTACCCGAAAGGCATAACATAATGTGGAGTACCCCGAAAGGCAATAATGTGGAGCATTTTGGGCTGAAATAGTGGGTTGAAGTGAGAAAAACTTGTTTCATAAATGGCACCAAAAATGGAGTTATCAACATCATCTACAAGAATAGACCAAGTGAAAATTGAAGAACTCCCACCAAGGTGGTGCCTGAGCTAGAGGGTCTTGGAGGTTCTGTTGGTGATCTCGTTCTAGAACGTACACTCCCTGAACCAAGCTCGCAGCAACAGATCTTCGATCATGAAAATTATTCCTACCAAAGTACAACAAATAAGCCCTTACATTTAGTATAAAAAAGAAACTAAAATGTTCTAACCAGAGAAAAGAAAAAGAAGATATCTTGAACATAACAATTCTTTTTCAGATGACACAATTAAAAACTAATAAAGGAAACTACAATGTTATCCAGCTGAAATTAGAATCATCTACTGTTCATACTATTTCATCATAATTTTCTCAATACGAGTTCAGGGTCATAAGAGACAAAGAAGTTTTAGCTTGTGATTAACCAAAATCAGACATCTTGTACTAGATTTATGGTATTTCCACTTCCTTCTTAGCATCCTTAGTCGGTAAAGATTCCGAAAATTCTCATTCATAGAACACTTATGAATTAAGATGCAATGCTATTTGAGACCCTTTTCCCCTACATATTAATCTCTTTAACAAACATGAGGTGTTTGATATTCCTACACTTCAGGTTTATGAATTGCCTTATTTCCCTGGCATATCTTGCAATGTTGCTCACTTGGGATGATTTTTTCCTGAATAGTCCGAGTTGATTATAATTTACATGATAGTATATATTCAGAATTTCATAGCCAATTGACAGTGCGCGTGCACACGCTGCAGGCACAACTGCTAGAACATGGAGTTTGTTACTGAAACTAATGAAAGAAAATGTGTTTACCAGTCAACTGAAGTGAGGTGTAATGGCCCTGAAAGGCAGAAAATTTGTCTGGAAGAGGTCGGCTTCTCGTTCTTTCTGTGTTTCGAGTCTTCCATATATCCTCAACAAAGGCAATGAATTGCTAAAATGTAGTACATCAAGATTCCCATTAATCATCAAATTAAGTGGCTCTATAAATGAATTGCAAAGGCATCATGCAACCAAAAAAAAAAAACTGTGATTGAATTGTTTTTCGAGTTCTTCCCCAAATCGAAAAAGAAAATGAAAGCTACAATCTTGATTTCCTTTGACAAGTTTCCGAGACCCCAACATCTGATTCCCTTTTGACAATTTTTTTCTGGGAAATTTCAAACAAAACCCCAGAAAAAGTGAAGCATACAAATGCAAACCAGCGAATCAACAAGACTGACTGATGATTCTTGGATCACATAGCTTAAAACACTTGAGAAATACATCAAGAGAGCATTGTTCCAACAGCTTACAGAAAAAAATAAAGAAATTAAAAGAAAAATCCGTTTACCTTAATGCGAGACTCAGAAATTTCACGTAATTTTCCCCTCTCCTCTTTTATTCCTTCAAGAGGAAACAAAAGGGAGAGAGTTGAACACAGCGGCCTTGGACAGAGTGGCATTAACAGACGCTGGATAAATAATAATACTATCCGAGAGTGTCTCTCTTTCTTCCCCTTCTATTATTATTTTAGGGGCTTAAAACAAAATATTATATGGTTTAGGGACTTATTTTGATTAGAAAATAGTTGAAATACTTAAAATTGATTACATATAATAGTTTAAGTACCTAATTTGACCAAAATAGTTTAAGTACCTAAAGAAAAAATAGCATAATTAAGTAATTATTTTAAGTTTAAGCCTATTATTATTTAGGGTAAAGTACACAAATGGTTCTTTGATCATAGGGTATTATTTTATTAAGTCTCTCGACTGTTAAAAATTATAAAATGGTCCTCCAACTTAAAGTGTTGCTTTGTTGAGTCCATTAACTATTAAAAGTTACAAAATGGTAATCTGACTATTTATTATGTTCCAAACTTGTCATTTTTCGTTAAAAATTGATAACATTTTGAGTTGAACATTAACATGCTGACTATGATATGATAAAATATGATCTCAGAATCTCAAACGACTATCATATTTCAGTTGTCATGTTAACGTCCAATCTAGTCAACCGTGAATTTTTTAACAAAAAAGACGAGTTTCGAACATAATGAATAGTTGGGTGGTTATTTTGTAATTTTTAATACTCAGGGGACTTGACAAAGAAACATTTTATAGTCAAGAGCCCATCTTGTAATTTTAATAGCGAGAAACTTAATAAAGCAATACTCTATAATTGGATACCATTTTGGCACTTTACCATTTATTACTATATCTCCATTTCATTAAAACATTAATGTATTATATAAAAATAATAATTAAACCATTTATTATTATACTATTGTTATATTAAATAATAATTTTTCTAATTTTACTGATATCACCTTTCTTATTTTGGGTACAAAAAGTTTGTTACTTTGTTCATAATATTTTTATTATAAAATATTATATATTTATATAATATTTTCAGTTGTATGCAGGCTCGTCCATTAGCAAATATAGCTTATGATATATTATGTGGCCTCAAAATTTGGGTACTACATTTTGAAAATTTTGTTAACTAAAAAAATTATTTTCCCTTATACGCAGCATTAAAAAATTCAGTAAATTTATATGTTTGAATTTCTTTATTTACAAGAAACAATCGTAATATGATAAATTTTAAAATTTTATAATGTCTTATTATAAAAATATGTCACATGCCTCGTTTTAAAAAGTAACACATGATTTCCACATCTTTTGAGACAGATCTAGTTTTGTATGTCATGAACCCTTAATAATGTAACTTTTTGGGTTACAGTATAAATGTTATTATTAATTTATCCATTATAGAGATAGATGGGGACAAATATATATACACTTTGATAAGATCTTCGGTTACAACTAACTTTTCGTATTTTAACGAGTTATATTTTAGAAGTATATTACACTCTATGAACACGTTAAATCATACTTTGTAGTTTACCTTAAAATTTATGCAAGTGTGCAATATAAACAAATATAACTTATCAGTTTTGTCTCGATTAATTTGGACCGGTTTGGATCGTATATATAGTTTTGGTGGGTTGAGTCTCTCAACGGAGATTTTTTTTGCAAACACAACAAAGACTTGAACTCAAGACTTACTTAAAAAATATCAAAATATTTATCGCTTAAACCAACATATTAATAAATAACTTGTCATTTTAATAAATAAAGTAAAATATAAAGAGATGGAGTGTTATTGAAGAATCGTGATAATATTAATTAGATGTATAATTACATTAGATAATGTGTTGATATAAGTAATTGTTGACCAAACCGCCCTATTTTCCAAACTTCAACCGTTGGTAGTAAATTAATAAATTTGATAACTAAATTTTATTTTTTCTTATTTCACTTACTGTGTTTTTATATATTTTTTTAATTTCTTACTAAACTTAATACATTAGATTTTTTGTCACCAGTCCTTTCTTCACTAACGATGTTATAAATAGGCTTTTATATAGATACAAAACGACGCCGTTTTGGAAAAAATTTCGTTCTTTTAAAACATCGTTTTAACGCCGATAACTATTTAACATCAGAGTGGCAAAAAAATCCAATGTATTAAGTTCAGTGAGAAATTAAAAACTTTTAAAGTCCGGGAAGCAAAATAAGAGAGACACTAAAGTTTAGTGATGAAATATATAATTTACCCTAAATGAATATATATTTGTGGGAGGCTTAGTCCGCTTTTAGGTGCCTAAATTATACCATAAATTTATTTTTAATGACTAAAGAATTTTTTGTTAAAAATAAGTGTTTAATATTTTTTCTGTTATATTTTTAAGTGCATATTATTTTTTAAAAAAATTAACTGTTACGTTTATAATTTTTTAAATAAAATATTATTTTAAAATATTTAAAAAAATATATAAATATAACACATATCAAATAATAATATAACTTAAAAAAGAAAAGCAAACACATTTTATATATCAGAATTCAATTTAAAGTATAATTTATACTCGTAAATTGTTATTCAGCCTTTGCGAGAAGAAGCTCCAGATTTGGACACGACTCGAAATAGGAAAGTTGGACAAAAGATCATGGACCGGTGTACGAGGTCCAAATATCACGCTTCACCTACGGCATCCAAACACGTGTCCTATCTCAACATTCCTTGTCGGGCGCAACACACATTTTTTTAACAACTCACGTCCGTCTAAAAAGCACGATAGAGATTCATTAGTAGGAATGATAAGCAGATATAATTTAAGTAAAATTTTTAATTTGAATACTTATATATAAATAAAATATATGTTAGGAAATTTTATTAAATTTAATGTCTGATATGCATCAATTCGAATTAATTGAGATAAAAATACAACTAAAATAAAATCAAAGCACCATACCGCCACGTAATACGATTTCTAGAGGATCACCGGTGGGCCCCACAACCGGTCCCGGAACCACTAACGGCCGGACCCAAAATCCACGTGTATCGAACAGAAATCGTAACCGTCCACGTCCATCCTTTGAAAATCCGAGTCCGTGGCACATAAATCCCCATGTGGCTACCATCCCTCCCGTCGGACGAAATCCAACGGCTCACTGTGGTACCTTAAAAAAAAAAAAAGCCCTTTAATTTGTATTCTCCAGTTGTTGTTTTATATCCCTCTCGATTTCATGCAAAAAGAAAATAAAAAATCTCCAATGAAGGAGAAAATACCGAAGCTTCACTGTACGTCGACCGAATATCCCCGGAAAATGGCGTCAGATCGCGGGGAACTCAGCCGGCTTACAGTCATCAGAACCAAGAATGCTCGCCGGAGAAGGTTGAAGTATACATGTGAGACGATGAAGAATATAATCATCACGGAGAACAAAAACAACGGCGATAAAGACGATGATGATCATCTTCATGGATCAAAACCAAGCAACGGTTTAATAGAAATATCGCTTTCATTGTCTTCTTCTCCGTCCAAGGTTGAAGCTTTAGCGTGCAGGCCGTCTCATGGGTCACTGTCGGTCATTGGTCGGAGATGCGAAATGGAAGATGCGGTGAAAGTGGAGTTAGGATTCATGGACAAAGGAGGGGAAAAGCTCGATTTTTATGGAGTTTACGACGGGCACGGGGGGTTCAGGGTGGCGGAGGAGTGTAAAGAAAGGCTGCATAAACTCTTGGCGGAGGAAATGGTGGAGGATAACGAGAAAGGGAGTGGGATTGATTGGGGAACAACGATGGAGAGATGCTTTGAGAAGATGGATGAAGAGGTGAATAAAGGGAGGCAGGCGGAGGAGATGGTGGGGTCAACGGCGGTTGTGGCGGTGGTTGGTGACGGGAGGTTGGTAGTGGCGAATTGCGGCGATTCCAGAGCTGTTTTGTCCAGGGGCGGCGTTGCTACGGCCTTGTCTTTTGATCACAAGGTAACAAATATACTAATTTAAGACTTTCAATTTCTCTTTGGCATTTTTATTTACAGTTATCTCTTTCTGCGCTTTGCTTATGCTTAATGATTATATTTATATACTATATGATGTTACTCTTCCCAAACTAGTATTAACATGAGAAATTCTATTGTGCGACAATCTTACTATATTATTAAAAAAAATACTATTGATTTTATTATTTTTTTAATACAATTGATAAAAATTTACCTAAAATATTATTATTTAAGATAAATAACTTATATTCAATTTTATATCACTTTAAATAAACCGATGTAGTATAATTCATCTAGTCGTTTAGTCTAATTTGGTGCAACATATTTGAAGTACGAATCAAGTTACTTTAGTGATTAAATGAATTATGTATTTTTAGAAGTTCTAGATTTTAACATAAAAGTTTGTAAGGTATTTGATCGTTCAATATCTAATAATTTATAATTTTTAGAACATATACTACTACTTGTAAACACTCTAAATTAATAATAATAAAAAATGGTCAGTTCATGTATCAAAAAAAAAATAAAAATATATATATATATATATATATATATATATATATATATAGATATATATAATCTTAGTTTAACTTTTAACATTCTAATTCAATTATGAAATAATATTATGTTTGATTTTAAATATGAATAAATTAGGATAAAGTACATAAATGATCCCTCGACTATATGATGTATTTTATTGAGTCTTTCGATTACTAAAATTAAATTGTTTCTAACTATAGAATGTGTTTTGACTCTCGACTATTAAAAGTTATAAAATAGTCACCTGATTCATTATGTTCTAAACTTGTCATTTTTCATTAAAAATAACGATAGTCTGAGTTGAATATTAATTTATTATTTGACATATGGTAGTCGTTTGAGATTTTGATATCAAATTTTATCATATCTCAAATAACAGATTAACATCTAGTTCATATTATCATCAATTTTTTAATGGAAAAAGACGAATTTGAAACATAAAGAATAGTCGGGTGATCATTTTGTAACTTTTAATAGTCAGGAGATTAAACAAAGTAACATCATATAATCGGGAGATCATTTTGTAACTTTTAATAGTCGAGGGACTTAACAAAACAACAACATATAATTAGAGGATCATTTGTATACTTAGCCTAATTGGCACACATGCTAATTAGTTCCACTTTGATACATTGAGATTTCTTCTTCTCCCTTTCTTTTCCTTCTTGTGCAAAGCCTGACAGAGCTGATGAGTTGGAGAGAGTTGAATCTGCTGGTGGAAGAGTTATAAATTGGAATGGATATCGAGTACTTGGGGTACTCGCAACTTCAAGATCCATAGGTAATTAATTCTCCTTTAGAATTTAAATTGGGGTTTCAGTCGCGTTGCATTTATCGTTATTTTGGATATAAAATACGCTACTACGGATATCTCAATCTTACAATAATGGTTTCGAACGACACCGCTATCGTTATAGTATTGTAGTATATATCACTGTTTAAATCCTTGTTCACGTACACATAAATAAATATAAAATTATTCCAATGGAGACTGAATTTTGAATGCAAGCAGGTGATCAGTACCTTAAACCGTTCGTGATATGCAGGCCGGAAGTAACCGTGCATGAGCTAACGAATCGTGACGAGTTCCTCATACTCGCTACCGACGGACTATGGGATGTCGTATCGAATGAGGTTGCCTGTCGAGTAATGAGGCACTGTCTCAACGGTCAAATAAGGAACAAATCATCGGCCAACGTCGCGGATCGAAATTGTGCCGCTGAAGCAACCGCGGTGTTGGTCGAGCTTGCAATATCTCGGGGTAGCAGGGACAACATTAGTGTGGTCGTGGTCCAGTTGAGAAAAACATAGCACACTGCCTCTTGTTTCTTATTCGTCCTGTTATCATAGATCGACTTTTCGGGTAATTTTAAGGAGTCGCAAGGACATGTGATTGACGATTTTATCTTTGAGAACTTAAATTTTATTTTCAATCTGCAATTACTGACCAAAAGATTTCATTTTTCGTGGTTTTTGTTTTTAACACGAAGGCCAATATTTGTAAATATTTCTACTGTCATAGATAAGCAAATATCTACTGTAAGGAGAAGAACTAAAATCAAATGAATTGTAATTTCATTTTATTATTAGAAGTTTTTTATTAAAAATAAAATTTAAAAAAAGAATTATATTTTTGGGTCAATATAACCGCTTAACTATTTTTTTAATTTTTTTTTGAATTAAAAAGAGAGCATTTAAACTACTGCATGAGACGATGGCAATGGGGGCTTCAGGGAAAACTCGAAGTATGTAGTTCGTGGCAGGTGGCATCTTGGCTATACAGTCAGCAACCATGTTGCCTTGACGGGGGTCCAGGTAAGCTCGGTCATCCAGTAACGGTTTCAAAGCGGAGAGATGGCTCAGACGATCGGGAGGTAGGCATTTGCAGCAGCAGGGTCATTAAGGAGGTGGATTGCTTGCAGATTGTCCGATTGAATCTGTAGAAATTCAAAGATGTGGTCCCGGACTACTTGCAGTCCATAATAGATTGCCCAAAGCTCAGCATGAGTGGGCGAGACTATGCCAATTAGTTTGCTGAGATGGGTGAGGCAGTTACCTTCCCTATTGCGGATTACTCCTCCTGCACAACTAAGACCAGCGTTTGTATCTACTGTGGCATCCGTATTCAAGCGCACCCACGCTGCAGGAGGCGGAGTCCACGTGATGGCAGTGCAACGTCGGGCTGAGGTAGCATCCGAGTATGGATTGGTGGCAGTAAGCGAGGCTCTGGCAGAGGACATCCTCCATCAGGAAACAATGGTTTGAAAAAAAAAAAGAGTTCATGCGTTTTCATATGTACCACAAGAGGAAGGGAAAACGAGAGCCCCACGAGAGTGTCATTTTTGGGGCCATCTCTTTGCATCCTATGTTTAATTGGATCCAGCCATGGAGATTCCAAGATAAGAAAGAATGAACCTGTGAGGGTAATAGCATTTGCCTCCAGAAGGTCAAAACTATTTGGCAGTCCTGAAGGACATGGATGGTTGACTCTAGATGGGCGTTGCCGAGAGGGCACAGCGAATTTGAAACCAATCCACGATGAACACGCTCAAGGATTGTCATGAGACAGTTCGGAAGGGTAATCCATAGGAAGACACGGATCCGTTGAGGAATTCGAAGACTCCAAATTCTCTTCCATATAAAGGATCAATATTCTCCCAGGCGTCGCCTGCCAAAAGGTTATAGGCAGTGCTGATCCTAAATTTGTAGATAACGTCCCATTTTCACACAACAGTCCTCATCGCCATCGTTAAACGTGGGAACAATGCCGAGGATATGCGGGACGATATTAGCTGGGAATAGGGTGCCGAGAGCCTCAATATCCCAGTTGTCATTAATATGAAGTAAACTGTCGAAACCAATATTGGGATTTTCAGCCTGGAGATGAAACGTGCAATCACGCAAAGGGCCAAGAGCAGAGAGCCATTCATCTTCTAACATATGCAGATGTCGACTATTGCCCGGGAGCCAGATCAATTGTTTGCGAAATTATTCCCAATAATGAGCCAATGCTCTCTGTCGTAACCGGTTTTCGTCCGGGCACGAAATATTTATTTGGCGGGAAAATTAATGTTAATAAATAATTTTGAAAATAATTTGGGAGTCGCCATCGGCCTTTTGGATCAGGTAGGTCGAATACCTAAAAATTATTTTTTTTTTTTAAAAAGAGTTTTAATAAAACATCAATTTAAAAAAATAAACTGATCTGCGTTTATAACCAAAAATTCGTTCTTTTTAGTAATAAAAAGGGATTCGTGGTCGGTTACGTTTAGGGAAGGATTAGCACCCCTACAACGCCCAAAATTGGTACTTTTTAATTATCAATTGTCTCTATTATTAAAATTTTAAAAAATTCAAAAATATATTTAATTTATTCTTTCAAAATTATAAAAAATATTATTTATTTAAAAATATCCGAAAAGAACTTCTAGGTGCCTTAAGACAGTTCTTTTCTTTGATATTGATAAGTATGAATTTAAATAATATTGTTTAATTTTTAATTTTAAAATATCAGAATAGAACATCCAGTTTTAAGACTGTCCTTTTCTCGATATGGAAAATAAATAAACATTGTTAATAAATATGTATATATTTATAAATAGTAAAACAATAATTAAAGTAATGATTGAAAATATATTAAAATAATAAAAATTAAGTTAAAACATAACTAAACAATGATTAAAAATAAATAAAATAATAAATGTAAAATTATGAACATACCTGAATCATCATAAATAAAATTACTAATAGTGTAATTAATCCTTAATTAATTAATCAGTGATTAAAATAAAATTTATCACAGTTTAAAGGCTCTATCTCGAATAAATAAAACTTTAAGTGCTAAAATGTAATTTAGCCTTATTTAATTAATCGGATTAAAATAACGTTAATAAAATTATAAGGTACTAAATCAGTTATTTACCCTAAATATATATAATAAACTGATAATGACTAAAATGTAATAAAATAAAATTGAATGATATGATTAAAAGAATTAAAACTTGCTTTTAATGACTAATTTGTAATGTTACAAACTAGGAGTGACTGCGGAAAGGGTTTACCCATGATGGAAATTACACAGATACCTCCTCCTTAAACGACGTCGCACGGATGAGGGTTTATAACCCTGAATGCCTGGCCCGAAGGGCCAAGCTTCTCATTTGCCTCATTTCTTTTTCTCAAGACGAGAGAACCAGAGTTCTCTCTGGTTTCTCTCTAGTTTCCCTCGCGGAGGGAAACCGGCGGCCATGGGCCACCGTATTCCGCCGCCGGCCACCGCCGCCGGCCACCGTAACGGTGGTCGGAATTCACAAAAATACCCCCAAAACGTAGATCTAAATGCCCTAAGACCGATTCGGTCTTTGTTTTCCATAAAAGACTCCTAATCGGAGTAAATCTACGAAAATACCTTCGGTATTTTCTGTTCTCCGGCGATGTTGTGCTTCCGACGGTGGTCAAGGCTCCAAGGGTAAGTTTCTTTTCTTCTTTCTTTGTTTTCTATTTTTTTTTGGTTGTTGGGTTGCTGTTCGTTTGTGTTCTTTTCCTCTCTGTTTTTTTTTCGTTCTGTTTTTTCGTCTCTGCGTCTGTGGCTGTCTCCTCTTCCTTCTTTCGCAGGTATGGTGGCTTTTATAGCCACCACAAGGTTCTGTTTGGACCGGTCCCGAGAGGGATGTCTAGGTGAGTCACCATAGCTATGCTGGTGACTCACCATGGAGCTCGATTTGGGCTGCCATCTGGTGTTCTGGAATCTACGGCGGCGAGGTGGCGTGGCAAAAGCAGCGTCGGCAGCGACTGGATGGACCATCTGGCAGTGGAGGCGTCGGCAGCAGCGTCTGGAAGCTGGAGAGGCAGCTTGAGCCCTCTGGAAGCGGCGGCTGGAGCTAGGGTTTGAAAACCCTAGCTGAAATCTTACATATTGTTTAGGGTTTCTGGTTGGCTGGACCGGTTCTGGTTGGCTTGTAACTGGGCGGTCCAGTTGTAATTATTTATTAAATAATATAATATAATAATAATAATATATAATTAATAATAATAATAATAATAATTATAATTATAATAAATAATATACTAATAATAATAATAATAATTTCAATAATAATAAATTTAAATGAAAAAATGATGTCTACAGCTGCCCCCTTTGCTCATCCTTGTGTTAACAAGAATAGAGCAAAGACGAAAAAGACAATAATTTTTCATTTGGCTTCTTTCGAGCAGGATGGAAATGTTTGAAAACATCATGCACTGAAGGACTTACAGATGACCCGAAGGTTTTGAAAACATTAAAAAGCTCCTGAAGGCTTTTTGGAAACATCATGCACTGAAGGACTTACAGATGACCCGAAGGATTTGAAAACATCAAAAAGCTCTCGAAGGTTTTTTGGAAACATCATGCACTGAAGGACTTACAGATGACCCGAAGGATTTGAAAACATTAAAAAGCTCCCGAAGGCTTTTTGGAAACATCATGCACTGAAGGACTTACAGATGACCCGAAGGATTTGAAAACATCAAAAAGCTCCCGAAGGATTTTTGGAAACATCATGCACTGAAGGACTTACAGATGACCTGAAGGATTTGAAAACATCAAAAAGCTCTCGAAGGCTTTTTGGAAACATCATGCACTGAAGGACTTACAGATGACCTGAAGGTTTTGAAAACATTAAAAAGCTCCTGAAGGCTTTTTGGAAACATCATGCACTGAAGGACTTACAGATGACCCGAAGGATTTGAAAACATCAAAAAGCTCTCGAAGGCTTTTTGGAAACATCATGCACTGAAGGACTTACAGATGACCCGAAGGTTTTGAAAACATTAAAAAGCTCCGAAGGCTTTTTGGGAACATCATGCACTGAAGGACTTACAGATGACCCGAAGGTTTTGAAAACATTAAAAAGCTCCCGAAGGATTTTTGGAAACATCATGCACTGAAGGACTTACAGATGACCTGAAGGATTTGAAAACATCAAAAAGCTCTCGAAGGCTTTTTGGAAACATCATGCACTGAAGGACTTACAGATGACCCGAAGGTTTTGAAAACATTAAAAAGCTCTCGAAGGCTTTTTGGAAACATCATGCACTGAAGGACTTACAGATGACCCGAAGGTTTTGAAAACATTAAAAAGCTCCCGAAGGCTTTTTGGGAACATCATGCACTGAAGGACTTACAGATGACCCGAAGGTTTTGAAAACATTAAAAAGCTCCCGAAGGCTTTTTGGAAACATCATGCACTGAAGGACTTACAGATGACCCGAAGGTTTTGAAAACATTAAAAAGCTCTCGAAGGCTTTTTGGAAACATCATGCACTGAAGGACTTACAGATGACCCGAAGGTTTTGAAAACATTAAAAAGCTCCCGA